GAAGTTGAGTCGGAATGGGGTGCCGGGGAACAGGAGCGCCGGCCACACAGCTCTACGTTCTCAGACGTCTCTTCAGCGAACACCTCGGAGTCCTTCCGCAAACCGTCCGTCTTGACTGCAATATAGATTTAGTCAGCGATCAATGGATCGCATTCAAACGCACAAGTTTTGCTCAACGAACGAAAAACTGCTCTACTTATCCATAAGCACAATCGGAGGTTGCATCAATAGAAGAAAAAAACCCATTTTTGAAACACAGAAGTCGAATTATTCTGGCTGTGATTAACCGTGTCTAGATTTTGCCTCACTAAGGAGGAGCAAGGAATTTTCACTAATTCTCTGATTTACCAATTGTCCAAGCTAACAAACTTCAAATTTTCCCAGAATGTCAGAAAGAATGTCACTGTAACTGTAAATCATACTTTCGCCCCATCTATTGATTCGAAATTTTCAACACCCGACTGATTACTTCAATTGATAGGTAGAGCATCAACCGATCGGAGTATTAACTTCGAATTTCCCGTAGATGCAGGAACAACGTTCAATTGTGCATAATGGATGTCTGAATTCCTCTCTAACTCTTAGTTCAACAAACAAATAAGGCTAAGTCACACTTGATAGAAACATTTTTCACACAGGAAGTGAAATTCGCTTCAATAAGAGATGAGCGTGCGTTTTAAATTTGGATGAAAAATGCTGGCTTTAAGGGGATTCATGAGTGCAACATTGATTGACAAATAGAACTGCAAGAAACAGCTCATTCGGTTCACTCTTGCTAGTCTTGACTCTTGAACGAAAACTCTCACGTTGCCATTTTATTGTTCCTGAAGACTTCGGCTAGGATTTCATTTAAAATAAAATTAACTCAATCTGCGCTTCGTAAGGGCCCCAGGATGAAGGGAACTTTGAGCAATCGAGTTCTTTGGATTAATAACGTCTCGCTTTAGCGTAAATGACGTGTTTTCCTCATTACAATTATGCTAATATACTGGTATGAAAATTTATTTTCCTTTTACTTGGGGGACAAGAACGTCACCTTAAAAGACAAGTGTAACTTCACCCGCATTGACAAAACACTCAAAATTCCAACGTCATGAAAAAATAGATCTATCAAAATGTTAGATCAGAAAATAGGATTTCACGGGAGGCACTTCTACTTGACTGCTGACTCGCGCTCATGTCGGTCGCGACAGCTAAACAAAATTGAATAAATACACGTAAAAAATCAAAATGGAACGTGTCAACAAGCAAAGGATGGGAATGCACGCCAAAATGAAAACATGCTGCGGGGGGTTAGGCAGACGTCATGCCATTCTTGTATACCTTTGGAATTTTTCTAATCCATCATTCTTGATTGCTTCCCCTTGAGCAGAGCCCAGTATGTCCTACTCATCAACTGGACGCAGCGGGGTAAAAAAAAAAAAAAAACGAAACGGGCATTTTGATGATGACGTTACGTTGAAACAAAGGACTCAATTTGTTTTTATAAATCGACTGCAAAAACGGGGTGTGGAAATCTGCCTTACCTGCGGGATCCAATACGAGGTATTTCAAAATATCAGACAGCGACACGACGCCCACGACTGAGTCGTTCTTGTCCACGACAACGAGGCGATGCACCTGGTAGAGAAATAACAGTAGGACAATCTCTCACTTACAATCCNCTTGGCAATTTTTTCCATCACATTTCCCAGAGAATCCGTTTTGCAGCACGTCTGAACACCTTCGAACCAGTCATGTCGGTGCGCATTCGCTTCTTTCAAGGTCATGTCCAGGTTGTCGTAAGTCTTCGCGGCTGCCAGGTTCTACAAAAAGTAATTTCAAATTTTGTTAAACCAGAAGTACAGTACTTCACATACAAAACTCAATAGGAAATGAGGTTGAAACAAATTCGCAAAGGAATTCCTAAAACGTTTCCAGAATATTCAAAGCACGGTCCTCTTCATACGAACCTCTTCAAGTCACCAGCAAAAAAAAATTCGAGTAAGGGAAATGATATATTTTTTGGCGAGCGAAGAAAGAAGAATGACACAAGTTCATTATTGGCAATGTTCGGGGAATTAAATTGCATCTTAAATGAGTTGACATGATAATGAACTTGGAGGCAAAGGCTCTGTTACACCAATTGTCTTTCACTTTCTTACAAAACACGTGCAGTTACATATTTATTGCTTTTCTCTTTCTCAAGTCAATGAAATAATGCCCAAAAAAAAACTCCAGAAAATTTCAATTTATGTAGGTTTGAGGAGGAAAGCCTTCAAATTAGGAAGGTTTTTAATGCAATTGATTGTATGGGAATTCAGAGAGGGACGTGGGGAAAATATGACTTCGGAAGGTTCGAGTCATCGAGGATCAATTGCATGTTTGAAGGCGGTTGCCTACACCAAAAATACCCCTGTAACACTCATGTTCCCCAATCAAAACTGGCACTGTACAGTAATAAAAAAAAACAGTGCCACAATTATATTTTAATCCTTCACTTTTATGATCAATAGGATTTATTTTTTTAATTCACATTAGAGAGAATTTTTAATTTTTTTAAGTAAGTCTTTTAAAATAATATACTTATATAATATATGGCTTCTTCCTGTTTTAAGAACTCAATTTTTATCATCCACGTAAAACCGGCCTTTCTTTTTCCTTCCAAAATTTTCCTCTTATTTTCTGATAGCTTTCAGCCCAGAGAGACGGCAGCAAGATTGTGTGGATACGTTAGGAAAACAAAGAGAGAGCGAGAGAGAGAGAAAAAAAGAGTAAGACAACAACTCACAATCACGTCAAACTTGGCGTAGATGTTCCGGAGCTTTCCGTGCTCGTCGAGGACCGGCAACGCGGACACGCGACGGTCAATAAACAGCTTCAGGGCCTCGATGATGGGCGTCGACTCGTGAGCCACGGCTACGTTCTCGTAGGAACCAATGTTCAGCTCTTCCAGCGTCTTCTCCAAAAACGACGGCCGGGGTAACTCGTGCAACTGCGGAATGAACAACACCATTTTTCAAAGATTGATTCCAGGAAAGAAAAAAAAAAGTATGTCGAGGCAGACTCATCATTTCTGAAAGCCCCGAATGATCATCAAAATACATAAGAACCATTGATGGGATTTTTGAAAACATTGTTACATTTTTATTGCTGTGTTCTTCCTTTTCCCCCGGAATAATAGTCCAAATGAATCCGGAATTGGGAATCATGAATGTTGAAGGGAGAAAGTCGGCAAGTTAAGCAGGTCTAGATTAAACTGTTCTTCAAATACTGCAATTCAGCCAGGGATCAACGAAAAATTGGACAACTGGAAGGTTTACAACTTGGTGAGGTTCAAGTTACCGAGGTCAACTGTGGAGTTGCCTCCAGGTCATCCAAGGCAATTCCGCGATTTTCATTGACAGCCGCCACATTGGTTCAGAGCCGCCACATTAGCCCCAATGTGGCGGTTGATGAAAATGGCGGAATGCCAAGTTGATTTCAAGAATTCTGAGGGGAAAGCTGGGCCACAAAAATAAAACTGCAGGAAGGGTGCCTCATCTGTTGAGTCTAAACACTCTAAAGCAGAACTCTGCCAGGGTGAATTTTGCAAAAAATGGAAAAAAAATTGTCAAACAGGGCTGATTATTTTTGGGCCGAAGAATATGTTTGCCCTAGAGAATATTTTTTTTTCAGCTCGATCAGGCGCCATTTTCATTTTCATTCCGAGAACTTTTGTTAGAACCCTCGTAAAACATTCACTTGCCCTCATTTATGACTGAGCGTATTCACAATAATATATTACACTAGTATTAAACTTTTAGCCCTCCAGTTTTTCAACAAATCTTCTACCCAGTCCTCTCCTTAGTTGGCTTTCAACTCGATTTTGGACAAACTAGTCCACAGTCTACCATGAACAAAGCTGTCAAATATTATTCAATTGAACCTTGATAACTCGAATTGCTTCAAGTCTAATCTTTATTTTTTAAGTACTCGTCTGAATCCCATTCGAAACGCCCTCCATAACTA